CCGTGGTCGAGACAAACAAAAGTGTGTTGTATCCGTCAGTTCGTTATAACCGTAACATAATTATCATATACAGAACGTGGTCCAGACAAACAGATGTGTGTCGTATCCACCAGTTCGTTATAACTGTAACATCATTATCATATACAGAACGTGGTCCAAACAAACAGAAGTGTGTTGTATCCGCCAGTTCGTTATAACTGTAACATAATTATCATATACAGACCGTGGTCCAGACAAAGAAAAGTGTGCCGTATCCGTCAGTTCGTTATAACTGTAACATCATTATCATATACAGAACGTGGTCCAAACAAACAGAAGTGTGTTGTATCCTCCAGTTCGTTATAACCGTAACATCATTATCATATACAGACCGTGGTCGAGACAAACAGAAGTTTGTTATATCCTTCAGTTCTTTATAACCATAACATAATTATCATATACAGACCGTGGTCGAGACAAACTGAAGTGTGTTTCCTTCGCCAGTTCTTTATAACCGTAAAATAATTATCATAAACAGACCGTGGTCGAGACAAACAGAAGTGTGTCGTATCCGTCAGTTCTTCATAACCGTAACATAATTATCATATACAGACCGTGGTCGAGACAAACAGAAGTGTGTCGTATCCGTGAGTTCTTTATAACCGTAAAATAGTTATCATATACAGAACGTTGTCGATACAAACAGAAGTGTGTTGTATCCGTCAGTGCTTTTTTACGGTAACATAATTATCATATATATAACGTGTTCCAGACAAAAACAGGTGTGTTGTATCCATCAGTTCGTTATAAAGGCAACATAATTATCATATACAGAACGTGGTCCAGACAAACAAAAGTGTGCCGTATCCGTCAGTTCGTTATAACCGTAATATAATTATCATATACAGACCGTGGTCGAGACAAACAGAAGTCTGTTATATCCGTCAGTTCGTTATAACCGTAACATAATTATCATATACAGAAAGTGGTCCAGACAAACAGATGTGTGCCGTATCCGTCAGTTCGTTATAACCGTAACATAATTATCATATACAGAACGTGGTTGAGACAAACTGAAGTGTGTCGTATCCGCCAGTTCTTTATAACCGTAACATAATTATCATATACAGAACGTGGTCCAGACAAAGAAAAGTGTGCCGTATCCGTCAGTTCGTTATAACCGTAACATCATTATCATATACAGAACGTGGTCCAAACATACAGAAGTGTGTTGTATCCGCCAGTTCGTTATAACCGTAATATAATTATCAGATACAGACCGTGGTCGAGACAAATTGAAGTCTGTTATATCCGTCAGTTCGTTATAACTGTAACATAATTATCATATACAGACCGTGGTCGAGACAATCTGAAGTGTGTCGTATCCGTCAGTTCGTTATAACCGTAATATAATTATCATATACAGAACGTGGTCCAGACAAACAAACTGTGTCGTATCAGTCAGTTCTTTATAACCGTAACATAATTATCAGATACAGACCGTGGTCCAGACAAACAAAAGTGTGTCGTATCCGCCAGTTCGTTATAACCGTAACATAATTATCATATACAGACCGTGGTCGCGACAAACAGAAGTCTGTTATATCCGTCTGTTCGTTATAACTGTAACATAATTATCATATACAGACCGTGGTCGAGACAAACAAAAGTGTGTCGTATCCGTCAGTTCGTTATAACCGTAACATAATTATCATATACAGAACGTTGTCGAGACAAACAGATGTGTGTCGTATCCGCCAGTTCGTTATAACCGTAACATCATTATCATATACAGACCGTGGTTGAGACAAACAAAAGTTTGTTGTATCCGTCTGTTCGTTATAACCGTAACATAATTATCATATACAGAACGTGGTCCAGACAAACAACGTGTGTCGTATCCGTCAGTTCTTTATAACCGTAACATAATTATCAGATACAGACCGTGGTCCAGACAAACAAAAGTGTGTCGTATCCGCCAGTTCGTTATAACCGTAACATAATTATCATATACAGACCGTGGTCGAGACAAAAAGAAGTCTGTTATATCCGTCTGTTCGTTATAACCGTAACATAATTATCATATACAGAACGTGGTCCTGACAGGGGTGTGTTGTATCCGTCAGTTCGTTATAACCGTAAAATAATTATCATATACGGAACGTGGTCGAGACAAACAAAAGTGTGTCGTATCCGTCAGTTCGTTATAACCGTAACATAATTATCATATACAGAACGTGGTCGAGACAGACAGATGTGTGTCGTATCCACCAGTTCTTTATAACCGTAACATAATTATCATATACAGACCGTGGTCGAGACAAACTGAAGTGTGTCGTATCGGTCAGTTCTTTATAACCGTAACATAATTATCAGATACAGACCGTGGTCGAGACAAACAAAAGTGTGTCGTATCCGCCAGTTCGTTATAACCGTAACATAATTATCATATACAGACCGTGGTCGCGACAAACAGAAGTCTGTTATATCCGTCTGTTCGTTATAACTGTAACATAATTATCATATACAGACCGTGGTCGAGACAAACAAAAGTGTATCGTATCCGTCAGTTCGTTATAACCGTAACATAATTATCATATACAGAACGTTGTCGAGACAAACAGATGTGTGTCGTATCCGCCAGTTCGTTATAACCGTAACATCATTATCATATACAGACCGTGGTTGAGACAAACAAAAGTTTGTTGTATCCGCCAGTTCGTTATAACCGTAACATAATTATCATATACAGAACGTGGTCCAGACAAAGAAAAGTGTGCCGTATCCGTCAGTTCGTTATAACCGTAACATCATTATCATATACAGAACGTGGTCCAAACAAACAGAAGTGTGTTGTATCCGCCAGTTCGTTATAACCGTAACATCATTATCATATACAGACCGTGGTCAAGACAAACAGAAGTTTGTTATATCCTTCAGTTCTTTATAACCATAACATAATTATCAGATACAGACCGTGGTCGAGACAAACTGAAGTCTGTTATATCCGTCAGTTCGTTATAACCGTAACATAATTATCATGTACAGACCGTGGTCGAGACAATCTGAAGTGTGTCGTATCCGTCAGTTCGTTATAACCGTAATATAATTATCATATACAGAACGTGGTCCAGACAAACAAACGTGTGTCGTATCCGTCAGTTCTTTATAACCGTAACATAATTATCAGATACAGACCGTGGTCCAGACAAACAAAAGTGTGTCGTATCCGCCAGTTCGTTATAACCGTAACATAATTATCATATACAGACCGTGGTCGCGACAAAAAGAAGTCTGTTATATCCGTCTGTTCGTTATAACCGTAACATAATTATCATATACAGAACGTGGTCGAGACAAAGAGATGTGTGTCGTATCCACTAGTTCGTTATAACCGTAACATAATTATCATATACAGACCGTGGTCGAGACAAACAGAAGTGTGTCGTATCCTTCAGTTCGTTATAACCGTAACATAATTATCAGATACAGACCGTGGTCCAGACAAACAAAAGTGTGTTGTATCCGCCAGTTCTTTATAACCGTAACATAATTATCATATACAGACCGTGGTCCAGACAAACAAAAGTGTGTTGTATCCGCCAGTTCGTTATAACCGTAAAATAATTATCATATACAGAACGTGGTCGAGACAGACAGATGTGTGTCGTATCCACCAGTTCTTTATAACCGTAACATAATTATCATATACAGACCGTGGTCGAGACAAACTGAAGTGTGTCGTATCCGTCAGTTCTTTATAACCGTAACATAATTATCATATACAGACCGTGGTCCAGACAAACAAAAGTGTGTTGTATCCGCCAGTTCGTTATAACCGTAACATAATTATCATATACAGAACGTTGTCGAGACAAACAGAAGTGTGTTGTATCCATCAGTTCGTTATAACGGCAACATAATTATCATATACAGACCATGGTCGAGACAAACAGAAGTGTGTTGTATCCGTCTGTTCGTTACAACGGCAACATAATTATCATATACAGAACGTGGTCGAGACAAACAGATGTGTGTTGTATCCGTCAGTTCGTCATAACCGTAACATCATTATCATATACAGACCATGGTTGAGACAAACAGATGTGTGTTGTATCCGTCAGTTCGTTATAACCGTAGCATAATTATCATATACAGACCATGGTTGAGACAAACAGATGTGTGTTGTATCCGTCAGTTCGTTATAACCGTGTTCGTTATAAATGTAATCTATCATTTAAATGATACTGACTGACTGAGTATGGTTTTACGCCGTTTTTAGCAATATTCCAGCAATATCACAGCCGGGACACCAGAAATGGGCTGCACAAATTGTACCCATGTGGGGAATCGAACTTTAGATGATAAGTTAGACTAAGAGTCAATTGCGCCATAACGAAACTGTTTGGAATTTTCCTGGAAAGAACATCATTGAGGAAGTATTTCTATAAACATAAGAACTATTCACTGTAATTATTAAAAACATTTCAACTGTGTCACAGGAATGACTACCAAATACCAATGTAAATATAACAGGCGTAGAGCTATCTCACAAATGGTATCCTTGCCCTGTAATCTGTTTTGTCCCATGGTCCCTGGTATGGTAATCTACCTTCAGTTATTGGCGATTTATAGCCCATTTTTATACTGTATCTTTTCCCCCTATAGTTAAAACCTTTTAGATTTAATTACTAATTTTACATAAATATCTGTGATATTCTAGTTGTTTTACTGTCGTTGGTCGGCAGGTTTTTTATTATATACATATATTTCATTTCAATATCAAATGTTCTCGTCACGTTATGGCTGAAATATTGCCGATGTGACGTTAAATATTAACTCTCTCACTCACTCACTCACTAATCTGTCACTGTCATGTGAACAAGATGTACGAAGTCCGTGGTTTCAATCTGCATAGTTTACACACATAATGATCACATCAGATATAGAATCCCGTAATGTTTGCGTTTGTCGACAAAAAATATTTAATCTAGTCAAACGTTTCCTGAAAATGTTTTTACCTGCGCCATATGTCTCACTTCAACTTCCACCTTTCCCTGACTGCAGCACTGGTTGAAATGATACACAGAGATGCAAAATGTATTTTAGGATTTATTCCCTCGCTTCTGATCCGAATCACGGAAATAGAGACTTGATCGTGGGTCGTTGTAGTGGTCACATGCTGCTTTGACCTTATGCGCATCTATCACGAATGTTCAAGGAAGTATGGCTATTATAGAAACATTCTATTCTAAAAACGACTCTTTTAACAAACTACGGGATGTAATGTCTCTTTCTATTATGCCCCGTTTCACAAAGCTAACGTAGCGCTACGACTGTCGTAACTGCTATACTGTAACATAGACTGACGACAGTGGTAGCGCTACGACTGTCGTAACTGCTATACTGTAACATAGACTGACGACAGTGGTAGCGCTACGATTGTTGTAACTGCTACACTGTAACATAGACTGACGACAGTGGTAGCGCTACGACTGTCGTAACTGCTATACTGTAACATAGACCGGACGACAGTGGTAGCGCTACGACTTGTCGTAACTGCTATACTGTAACATATACTGACGACAGTGGTAGCGCTACGACTGCCGTTACTGCTATACTGTAAAATAGACTGACGACAGTGGTAGCGCTACGACTGTCGTAACTGCTACACTGTAACATAGACTGCCGACAGTGGTAGCGCTACAACTGTGGTAACTGCTATACTGTAACATAGACTGACGACAGTGGTAGCGCTACGACTGCCGTTACTGCTATACTGTAACATAGACTGACGACAGTGGTAGCGCTACGATTGTCGTAACTGCTACACTGTAACATAGACTGAACACAGTGGTAGCACTACGACTGTCGTCGCTGCTACACTGTAACATAGACTGAACACAGTGGTAGCGCTACGATAGCTTTGTGAAACGGGGCCCAGGGCCATACGCTATATTTAGCCCAAATGCGGGCAAGACACCTTCATTATAATGAACTAACATTTGTGGTCACTTTGAGTTCGTTATAACTGTACTTGCATATAAGGGTGTGGAAATATAGCCTGTGTTACGTTTCTTAACTTCAGACGGCTAGGTGAGACAGTAATATAGTATAGTCGAACGTGTCGAAAATGTGATACCAGTATCTCGCTGATTAGTAGGACACCGAAACCACGAGACTCGGGACTGGCAATCGTCATTAACTTATATAGATACCGAGTTGCCTGACAAGGAAGGAGAAATATTAAAGAAACTGCAATGAGGTATCACCTTCCTGTCACGCTTAGCACATTTGCAATATATTAACATTTACCAACTGCTTTGATGTGTAATCATCGAACGTAGTTTTACAAGTTGATGCTTTAAAACAAACTGACAACATCTCCATGACAGGCTTTTTAATCATAAATACCCAAACAAAACAAACAAAATATGATAAACCTAGTATGCATCTGTATTATTTCACAAAATGAATGTGTGTAATATATAGTTTACTATGTTACAAAAACCACACGCATCAGTGACAAAGAAATATGTCACATGTAACTCCCCATTTTGATTTGTACCATACATTCCTGTTGTTTTTTTTCACGTGGGCAGGCAAAATTGGCCAGCCTTTGTATACATTTATGACGGGTGCCCAAAAGGGGTGGCATGACACGATCACTTTTTTGCGAGCACCTTGTACCATCACTATTTAACAGTGATTCATAAACATATGCTCTGTCGTTGTATCCCATGGCTTCAGTCACTGGATTGTCTGGTCTTGCCTTGATTATGTACACAATGCCATAAAACAGCTGTAATATTACTGAAATTGGCGTCAGACAGAAAAGCACGCTCATACATGATGACATAATGTTAAAAGGCCTCTCCCTCTCACTACTGTCAAACCGATTTGTCGACACCTGAAGACCGGCATCGATTCAAATGACAGTGGCGTGAGTGTTTAATCAACCCCAGCAATAGCACACTGCAAACACCATAAATGGGGCTCCACACATTCTACCCATGGGGAGAATCGAACTCTGACCTTCAGAGTGCAAATGTGACGTTTTAAGCCGCAATGCTCCCCGTGCCCCCACTATGGCTGTGGATAAACCATTGGTATATGTATGGTTCAGGGGTGATGGGGTAGCCTAATGGTTAAAGTGTCCGCTTGTCACGCTGACGACCCGAGTTTAATTCCTCATATGGGTACAATGTGTGAAGCCCATTTCTGGTGTACCCCATCGTGATATTGCTGGAGTATTGCTAAAAGCTGCGAGGAAGCATGATCACTCATTCACTCACTCACTCACTCACTCACTCACTCACTCACTCTGCATGGTTCCAATATTGCTTGTGTTTGTGACGTGGAGGAATACTGGAATTTATTGGTGGAGTCATGACTTTGTGTCCCACGCTCAGTCCCCAAAAGGTCAGAGTTGGAGTCTTGCATATTTAAAATTCATTCGTGTAGTATATTCTGACAAAGTCGAGACTCTCACTGTTAATCCAAGAAACCTATCATATCACATCAAATTCAAGATGATGAGAGTTGTGACGAATTCTGACACAAACATCCCCGCGATTAGAAATGTTTGTAGATTTATGATACCGTCCTTCTCCTCTGTTCTGTTCTGACAGTCTCTTTGTTGCAACTGCCTGCAAAGATAACATTAAATTTACCTACAGCTGAACATGTAGTGATCACATTAAATTGATCTCCGTATTGCTGGATATGAAATCATTACATAAGCTATGTTTGCCGACAACCCGTGAAGGTCCGGGTTAGAATATTGATCTTGAGTAACCCATGCTTGTCGTAAGAGGCGACTAACGGGATCGAATGGTCAGGCTCGCTGTCTTGGTTGACACATGTCATCGGTTCCCGATTGCGCATATCGATGCTCATGCAGTTGATTATGTGCAGACCACCGCCATATCGCTGGCGGTGGAATATCGCTGGAATATCGCTGAGTGCGGCGTAAAACTAAACTCACTCACTCACCTGTTTGCCGATGGCTGAGCATGAAAGGATTAAATAAGTCTTGCCTGATGCAGATGAACATTGAATGATTAAAAAAGCCTTTATAAGGGCGATTATATGAGCATGCTGAGATCACAAAGTGTTTTTTTCTTCAGGGTAATTCGAGAATTTAAACCAACGTTAAGCAGATCCCTGCACACCTAGGGGACATAAACATCCAGTAGTGGGCTATATAATCATCGCACTTAATGAGGAAATATACTTCTACTGTGCACGTGACGCCGGTCTCCGTGAATGTTTATTAAAAAATAATCAGGGCTTCATTCAGGAAGTAATTGCTTAAAACACATACAATTATTCAGCAATTTGAAGCAGTAAACCTATTAATGTAATCTAGGTTACTATCTGTATGGTTTCGTGTGAGCTCAATGCAGTAGAACAACAAGATGTATTGCAAGTCTGGGATGTTTACCTCTTCCGTACAACATGTGGTTGGTTGGTTTGTTGGTCTGTTGTTTTACGCCGCACTTAGCAATATTCCAGCTATATTGCGACGGGCTGTAAATAGTCAAACCTGGACCAGACAATCCAGTGATCAACAACCTCAGCATCAATTTTCCCATGACAATAATGATAGGATGACACGAGTCATCCAGTGAACACCCGATTCCGTTAGTCGCCAGTTATGATAAACAGTGGTTACTGAAGACCAGTTTTATTCTAACTCGGATCTTCATGGGTATACGACATGTAGAGTAGATCAATAACGGTGTTGCCAAAAATATTAAACACATCTTTACAGAATATGAAACTTCTGTCTAATCATGCACAGAAATATATTTTGTGAAACAGTTCTTTATAATGCTTAAGTATCACATGTTAGAAAGTAACATATGTTATATTTTGGATTATACTTTTTCAGTAAAGTGCAGATTCTAATACTTTTTGTGTTGAGTCCCATCCACGAACCCACACTCTCTGAGTCGGGACCTAATCACCAACATACACAGTTAGCCGTCTAACACTCTCAGTCACTGCGGCTTCCACAAAAATGGAAGTCGGACAACTGGTAGTCCGAAAGTGGACCAATGTAATATATGGTATAATTGGGATACACTTTCCCAGTAAAGTAAAGATTCCAGTACTTTTGTTAGGTTAAGTCCCAACTGGGATTCGAACCCCCACCCACAGAGTAAGGCACCAAACCACCAGCACACAAAGTCCGACGTCTAACCCACTCAGCCACCGTGGCTTCCACAAACATGGAAGTCGGACTTGTACTTTACTGAGAAAGAGTAATCCGAAATATAACATGTTACATTTGATCCCGTTCTAAAAGGCATTACGTATTCGTGTTAGAAATTACTCCACAACCGATGTATCATTACTCACATGGAATAGTTCGAATGTATTCGCCACAGGTGAAGACCAAGTTGGAAGGGGTTCTGGTGGCTGAGATTTGAGCAGTTATGTTTTTCGTCTCAGGGACTGTTTCATTAGCAAATTCTGTGTCAGATTCTCCAAAAACCAGCTTCAGATGGACCCGTTCTGAACAGTAATATTCAATGACGTGGGCCATAAGATCCCCCCATTACAGGGAGAGGAAGAATTCTCGGCATATGTAAGGAAGCATTGCGGATCTTCTGCAACGAGATATTATAATTTTTAAAATCAAATATAGATGTTATCATAATAAGTTTCATATACTCATGCCAATAATAGTTGTCACACCCTCCCCACCCCAACCCCACACACACCTCACACCGCCACCCCAGACCCCCTCTCCAATTGAAGGGGGTGACAACCATTATTGGCATGAGTATATTACGAGGGGCGGCGGGGAAGCCTTTTGGTTAAGGCGATTGTCTGTCAAGCCGAATCCCCGGGTTCGATTCCTCACGTAGGTACAATGAGTAAAGCCCCTTCTGGTGTTTCACACCTTGATAACTGGAACATTGCTAAGGTTATACTCACTAAATCGCTCACTCACTCATATTACACTTTTCAGCATTCTTTCTTTGTCCGGGGGCGGCGGGGTAGCCTAGAGGTTAAAGCGTTTGCTTGTCACGCCGAAGACCAGGGTTCAATTCCCTACATGAGTACACTGTGTGAAGCCTGCTGGAATATTGCTAAAAGCGGCGTAAAACCATACAAACTCACTCACT